ATTTATATTTATAAGTAGATTGTTAATCTGTGAGTAATCCTACTATTGTTAATATTCTAGTTTCTTGAGGTTATATATATATAATATTTGAGAAAGTACTATCCTTGTTGATTTTGTGTGGGGTACTTAGAATGTTAAATTTGAGTGTTATTAGCACTACCTTAGGTACCTCCCCGGTTATGGATTTTATGTTTGAGAATTTATTTTGCCCAGGCCTGTCGAAGTTTGTCCAGGCCCTTCGGAGATTTATTTTGAGGTTTATTTTGCCCAGGCCCGTCGGAGTTTGTCCAGGCCCTTCGGAGATTGATTTATTTTGCCTAGGCCCGTTGGAGTTTGTCCATGCCCTTCGGAGATTTATTTTGAGGTTTATTTTGCCCAGGCCCGTCGGAGTTTGTCCAGGCCCTTCGGAGATTGATTTATTTTGCCCAGGCCCGTCGGCGTTTGTCCAAGCCTTTCGGATGATTTATTTTGCCCAGGCCCGTCGGAGTTTGTCCAGGCCCTTCGGATGCCTTCTTAATACGATGCCTTGGAAAAATTGAATTAAGGAATGGAATATTACTTTATAATATTTATATAAGGATTACGAACTCCACCATCATGCGTACCTCCCCTCTTGGATGATGATATTTGGAAACAGTGGATATGGTTTGGATATACTATTCACACACGTGCCGGGTTTCGGGCGTGTGGGCTTTATTGGTCACGGATCCTGGAATTGTGGGATGCCGGAAAAAATTGTGGATATGATCTGGATATGACGGAACCCGGGGCATCCTTGGCGGGATGTTGCTGTAGAGCCTTGATTGGGTAGTCTGCGCGCGTAGGACGGTTTTCAGATGTACGGGTCTTGATTCTTTGTCTGTACGGGCTGGTTAGAGTATCAGTCCCCCAGTTGGACGACTCATCCCTAGCCACATGGACGTTTGAGGGCCGAATAATTGTGAGCTAGTCAACAATCCCCTGTTGGATTGTTTCCCCCAGTACATGATGATGGTGAGAGGTGGGTGTTATTATACACACACACACACACACACACACACATATATATATATATATATACTCATTTATAGGCATACATATTACGTGTATGTGTATGTGGTTTTGATTTGGGTTAAGATCAATGAGATTGTGCTTTGTGAGTACCCTGTACATGTATGAACGTATAAGCCCTGGTTTTGGGCAATGTTGTTTGGCACCATACGCCTTGGATAGGGTATGGTTGCGGGATTGAACTGTTATAAATGGAATAATTTGTTAATGGGTTCATTGCGGTTGTTGGAATTTGAAAGGTGATAAATTTGAAATGTATAGTTGGTTATGCTGTAAATATTGGTTTATTATCGGAGTTGTGACCGTTGATGATAAGAACTACGTGTGGCTTGATCCCTTGTCCAAGGGTACGTAGGTAGCCTGGGTTCTTCACCTGGGTGCAACCGCGAATTATATTATGTTTAAAAGGTTTGAACGATTCTAAGTATGTGAATGGGTTTTGATGTGATGTTGGATTTGAATCCGGTTTAATGATTTGTGTGTTTGTGCCTGATAAATCACGGCCGTAAGCTGGCCGAAGGAGCCCTTTCTCTCGGCCCTGGCGCTTGTTCGCAGAAGCTGAAACGCAGCGTTTCGCCAGGGTACTTCGCCTCCCTAAAGATAAAAGAAGAAATGCTAAGGCATGATCATCTCGGCCTCGAGCGTAGACCGAGGCCGAGGCCGAACAAAATTGCGGCCAAGGCATTAAAGGCAAATCATCACGTGACAGCAGGGTCCCAGGCTTCATTTAATGAAGTAGTGCCTGTTTAATGCAGCAAACCCATTGGCCATAAAGAAGCATTTAATGCATGAGGGAAGGTGGGAAGTGACTGAAGTCAGGATTTGGTGATGAAGATCAGAGTGATTAGACGTGGACATTCTCACAAGAATTCTGACAGCCTGAGATGTTGGTTCACCAGCTATCCAGGCCATAAATGCGTCTCCACGGCCAGAGGCTCAGAACCCACGATCAAGAGCGGCGGCCGAGATTCACCGGGATTTCTGGGGTCTCACCACCATACTTCACGATCCCAAATGTCGATTGGA